AAATTCTGAGAGCGTTCTGATGAATTGAATTGTAATGTAATGTGATTATGTAGTGAGAAATAAATTATGTACTGTGTTCTAATGGCACCGCGTTCCCTACTCAGTCCCTGTAACATAACATTTGTTACCAAAGATGCGATGTTCAAATGCTTAATCTTCAGCACTTTTTGTGGCGTCCAGATGAAGTATTTTCATCACGATCACGTACAAGACCAGAAATGATCATGTAAAACGCTTTCGGTATCGAAACATAACGCGTAGAAACGAACGTCCTTTTTCCATCTACTTTCTGTACAGAAAATGATGCAAAAATGACCGTGAAAAACAGGCTGAACTCACGCACGCTCACTTCTCAACAGTTAATAGATAGAAGTAAAGCAGTCTCCCTCTCCCCCATATCTTTATGGGGTCTTTAATTATTACTGCCATAACAAATAATTAATAAAACAAAATTAAGTGAACTTAAGTAAAGATTTTTTTAAATATTAAATTATTATTTTTTCTGTGATTCAGTCAATCAAAAAATTAAATATTGCTACCAAAATGAATTAAAATCAACTGAAATTAAATTTAAATGTGCCCATTGGAAATATTTACTTTTGGAAAGATTCGCTTCAGAAGCTCAAGCTCATAGGTGACACTAGCAAGAGGGCACGTCCACAACAATATTTTCAAGTACATGAAGTAAATCCATTCTAAATTCATTTTTTATTAACGGCAGACCCAGGACAAGATATTATAATATTAATAATTATGTGTTAAATAACATTAAAATGCTGAAACGATAACATTGAGTACATTAACACTTCTATCATCCTTCATTAGTCAAAAATGCACAGAAAAATAATATTATAACGATGCTTTTTTACTGGCAAGAAAATGTAGGAATTCCCACAAGCCTGCATTTTCATTTCTAACAGAAAAGTCCAGTTAGCACAATGTTTGCTACCAATGCTGGTGTAAGGATCACTGTTGCCACATCTGCAGTTTTTGCTAAGTTTATTATCAGGGTGTTTTTGAATTCATGAGGAGCTGCAACAAATACTGCAAGTACTGTGTTAACTTCAATAAATCAATCAAAATATTGCTTCAACTAACATTCCAGGGAGGTACACACTTCTTTTGTTGACGCCCTGAATTTTACATACCTAAGACATCTACATGCAAGCTCAATAGAAGCAATGGTAACGAGCTGGCCTACCTTTTACAGAAACTTGAATTATTTTGAAGTTGAGAGAGGACATTTCATTTCATAATATTTTTCATACTGCAGTATTTCTGGCAATTTTGGATGGAAAGGGTTCAAAGTTTTCAGCAAGATCATGCAGTTGATTCATTTTTGAGAAGTTTTACTCATTAGAAAGAGGAAAGGAACAAAATAAAAAAATACATATCACTCATTAGATAGCACAGGTTTTATTTTGAACATTTCAACTAACATGATACCTCATAGGCTTTAAAAAAATATTTTTATTTTCAAATAAAATTCTATATAAAATTCAAAATAAAGTCATAACATGTGAAACTAAACGTGAATGATTCTATATATGACTAACACAAAGACCCATGCAGTTTAATATGATAAACTCAAATGTACAGGGATCAATTTACAAACATTTCTCTTCTACCCCTACAATGTACAGAATATTGAGTTGCCAAGTTTGAAATGATTTCTTGGGGGTCTAGACTATTTAATATTTTGATAACAATATCTTACATATACACGGAAACAATATTTATAGTTCTGTTATGTTTCATACATACAAACAGCGAAGAAGTTTAAAACTAACTGTGTTAGGCCCATTTGTATTCACTTCTAAAACTGGCTGGCTCTCTTTCATTCACATTGCCTACACCACATGATAGTGGATCAAACAAATTTGTTACTTTTCTAATAGCTGCAACAAGAGTGACTTGTGGCACACATTACACTACCAGTGGCAATGGAATAACAAAGACAGATTGGCAAGACATCTGTTTCCACCAGAGATTCCCAACACACTTTGAATAAAATCAACAAAGAGTTGAATGTAAAACAAATAACAAACATTCTACAACTGATCTACAGAATATATACAATGAAAAATGTGAGAAACAGGTCTTCTAATGTTTTCAGGACTTAATTTGCACAGATTCTTGTGAAATTTGTATTCCAAAATACAACTGTGACAGAAATTCTGTGCTCTACCTGTGGTATTTCCTCATATTGAACCCAATTTCAAAGCATGAAAAATAGATTCAACTAGCAGAGCCCATTTTTGGACCTATTTTTCAGATAATTCTCAATTATGTTGCAAATTTGCCTTGTTAAAAAAGATAAAACAAAAGGTATGTCGGTTGATGCGTCAATACTCTATTCCCAATTCCTGCTGTTCCCTTTGTTGCATGGAATATTAATTTAAACTTGAGTGACATACCTAAATAAATTTACAAGTCCGCAAAGGCCATTATGTTAGGATTAAATGCACTTCATTCTACAACAATTTCTTCTCTGATGTGTAACAGAAATTGTGTGCCATTAGTAGAGGGTGCCCCATGGCAGATGCATCCATTTGCCTAAGGAGGTAGGTAAAGAAACATTTCCAAATAATTTACAAAAATTGGAAATATTTTCCAAGAAAAAATATTAACCCTTTCCCACCCTATTGTACTACAAGTTTCATATTACAAATTATTTCAACTACCCAGTACAACATTGCAACAACACGACAAGCTAAGGCATCTCGGCAAGGCCTCTAGGACAGACAGCACATGCCAGTCAAAAGTTTAATAAAATATATTGTCATTATGCAAATATGTTTCTATGCACTAATTTTCTACACAAGAACACTATATTCTTGAATTACAGGGAGTACTAGCTGCACATTGATTCAAAATATTTTTTATGCCTTTCTAGGCTTGTTAAATAAACAAGAACTAAAAAATGTAAAGAAATACTTCACAAGCACTAACACATAATTAGCCCTTTCAAATAAACAAAGACACAGATATCCCCAAGTAGAGAAAACAAAAACAAATCTACACTTTCAGATGCTAAAATTAATGCTATACTAATTTGTTCTTTGCTTATCAGCACAACAGCTCATGTAATGTATATATGCACATTTAGCATGGTACATAACATATAGTAAATACTTATACCACAGAGAATTTAGTTCAGCCAGGACCAGGATATAGGGACACATTGAACGTAAGAAACATTTTCTTCACATAAATAGGAGCAAAGCATATCTTTATCAGGTCTTTAATAGCTGTGATCCAGGGTTCGTATACATCCTGTAAAATAAAACCGATCCTGATCGCAAATTATGTCACCACTTTTCTTATTTTATCCCGAACAGAAAAATATCAGTTACATTCTAGAGACACAACCCCTGTTCACCAATGTTGTAATACAAATATAAAAAAAAAGAGAATATCCTATTACTTGACATATGCCTGTTGTGATTTTGCATCACCTTCAGAATAAAAATGTCGGTGCCCTGTATTTTTGTTAAAAATAAAAAGTCTTGTTTAAGAATGATTTGCACCTATTTACGTATAACAGTTGAGTCCCAACAAAAACATTTACACCACTCGTCACCAGCAATAGCAAGAAAATTTTTCTGTAATAGTTAATACATATATTTAGACTCTATACTCTACATAACATTAACTAAAATTACAGTCATAACAAAGTGTCTCTCTGTTTTTTCTTAATATCTGTGAAGAAATACCTCTACACTTGCTTGGAGCCATGTTCGGTGGCAGTTTGAACTTGTACACAGGTTTCCTTCTTCTATTGAGGAGCAATTGGACTGGTCACATATCACTTGACACTTGAGAGAAAGTCCAAGAATGTGAGCCAAACAGAAGACATCTGTTTGGCAATATTGTCCAGGTATGTTGACACCATAATTTATTCAGTAACCTAGAAACCTGTCATTACAAGTTCCAAGAACAAGTAACCCATTGTTTACCTGCAATGATATAACCTTCCTAACAATCCGGCCTGCCGGAAATGTCAAGAAACAAAAGAATGGAAATATTTGCTACTCAAACATTGCGGTGCTCCTTGTACTTCTCTCTCCACTGTAATGTCCCAATATACTCATAAAAGCCTAAGTGGATTAATTAACAGAAATTACCTAATGGAATAAACTGCATTCTCTATCAATCTTCCTTTTTATCTATATGGATATGGAAAACGATCTACAGTGATGTTATCTCATGAATGGAAACCAAATGGAGACTGATTATTGATGAAGAACACAGCTGTGTTGAGCACTGTATTGGCATTGCAAGACTAAGCAAAGTAGCTTGTCACTACCTGTTTGAATCTTCCACTATTATAGATCTTTCTTTTAGGCAACATAAAAACGTGTTGCAAAAATTTGTTTATGCCCAGCTGGTAACAGCCAGCTCACTGATCTGAGAAACAGCATTGGTTGTCTGAAAAACTTCGTCACAAAACTGGCAAGAAATCAATAACAATTGCTGTTCACTTGATATTTATACTGAACGATTTAAATGAACAGTCATGTTAATGAGTTCTCACATAGTTGCTTCACCATAAATGCACTGAAGGCTCCAAAAACAAAATGGCAACCACCTTCATGCTAGCGTCTACTGGATATAATCCACGATATATAAAATACATTTTCAACGTTTTGTATTAATAACAGTTATTTGATTTATATGCAAAAATATAAAGATTAACAATTATCAACAAGTAACATATATATAATGCATTGAATTTTTTAGGAAATATATAATTACTATGTAAACACTCAGCAAAAGCTGTGTAATAATTTCTTCAAAACGTTAAATAACTCCATATCGCAGCATCATTGCCAATGGTTTTGAGTAACATGCAGTGTACGAAGAGGAACTTGGTTCGAAACGCGTGGTCCCCGCGCCGAGCGAGGGCTGGGCGGGGCGTGGCGTTAGGCGGGGCACGGGGGCGGGCACGACTCGAGCTCAGCCAGTCAGATGCTGCGGCGGGCGGGCATCGGCGGGCTAGGGCGGTGGACACAATGTGGCTGGTTTCCATCCACGAGCCGGCGGCGGCGGCGGCGGCGGCGGCGGCCGGAGGCGCCGCTAGACGTCCGTGAACTTGGCCAGTTTGTCGCGCAGCAGTAGGTTCTCCTTCTTGAGGCGGTCCAGCTCCTGGCGCAGCCCCATGTTCTGCGCACACAAACATCTTCCGGTTAACAAATGATCACTCCGGATGACTAAAATAACATGCGCTGAAGCAATACATTTTTAGACGTTATGGTATTATTATCTATAATACTATCCAATGTCTTTGGTTATTATACGCACACATTTTCTTAAGCCCTGGAACACCTACCTCCACTCCGTTTCTAACATTAATCGAATTAAGAATAAATGATAAACAACAAGCGTTATGATATTCAGAAATGCTTTGCCTGTGTAATAGAAAATATTTTGCATTGAAAAACTAACAACAGATGTGATACATTAGTCCTGGTGTCAAAATAACCAATTTCCCCACTTTTGCATCTAGCTCAAGAAAACATGAGCAAATAATATTATGATAACCCTCACCTCGAGCACCAAATTGTGTGTGTGTGTGTGTGTGGGCACGCGTGCGCATGTGGGCATGTGTGTCGGGGAAGAAGGAGGTGGGGATGGGGGAGGATTCAATAGGTAAGGTATAGATTACTGGAAAAGCCCCATATAACAAATTAAATTTGCAGGGGACGCAGCCCTCTCCCAGCTACGATGTTCACATTTTTGAAGATAAAAAGTGTTGGCCCCATTTCTGGTGAACTATCTTTATTTTCAAAATTGCAAACAACAACAACAAAATTTACATTGCAAGGATACAATAATGCTGATAAGAGATTTTTTTTCTTAAATGAAATCTGTTCTAATCTAGTGATGCTACAGAGTGGCACATGCTCTCTTGTACTAGTTAGTTTCCTTCAGTTTGAGCTCCTTTTTTTAAGGTTTTGCCTCACTGTCTTCTCAGCTGCCATATACAGAGTGTTCGGGGAGGAAATGTCAAAGCACTGCAAATAAGCTCTTAATACAATTTAAAGCATATTTTGTCTAAGAAACTATTTGGATATTCCTATTTGTTGAGCTAGTAATAAGTACTCAAAAATTGGTCTAAAAGATGCTTTCTAGGCAAAAATTTGCATTGCACAAGCATAAAAACACTCTACAAACATGTATTTTTTCAGAAATAAAAATTAACACAGAAATAAAAAAACTACCCAATTTACACAATTTGAATGTTTTTTTAATTTCTGGTTTATTTTTCTTTCTGAACAAGTAAATTCATTTCTTTTGTAAATAATAAACAATTTACTTCTTTCTAGTGTGTTTCTGTGCTTCTGAGGGGTGCCACCTCACCAAGCTCAATGAGTGAAGTGACAGGTTTTCTTGTGCACCAATCAATATTAATGATATGCCACCAATGACACAGTTACTACCAACCTTGTTCATTTAACTAAAATGCATCAATATAAGGATGAGTTTTCGTATTTACATGAATTTTCCATTCTAGCTTTGTATCAATATTTAATTGCAGATATTTGATGTTTTGATTGGGTGGAGTCCAAGGAATTGGTGAGTTACTGATTTGGATGCAGGGGGTGTTGATTTTTGGGCATTAAGTTTAGTTTCCATTTTATAGCTCATTTATTTATTTTATTAGATGCCTTTGTATCTTGTTTCTTATGATATTGCAAAAATAACTGAACCCATATTTAATGGTATCATCAGCAAATTGACATATGTTGGTGTGGAATTCTACTGGGATGACAGCTACGTAAAGATTTAACAGTGTGGGAAATAACAGAGATCCTTGGGAGAGGCCTGCGTGTATATTTCTGGGGGTGGTTGTGTGACTGTTAATGGTAACTGGAAAAGTTCTGCCTAATGGCAAACTAGCAATTGTGTTGCGAAGATTTACGGGAGTGCCTACTGATTTTAATTTGCGAATGAGGCCGATGCGCCAGACTCCGATGAAGATCTGCATTAAATCGTGATGATTGTATGATGCTTTTTTCTGAATAGTTCCCTGGATCAATTCACTGACCCTTGGTTGATTGATTGTTAGTGATTCCGGGCTCGTCAACTACTGAGGTCCCGTAAGTGTAGTTCATGTTTTTGTTCAGAAGGTGGCGGTGGTTTTCCCAACCAGACAACTCCCACCAGTGGGGCGCCGCCCCAGCCGGGGCAAGCTCTAAGCTCCCGACCGGTCTCCCGGTATTTGTAGTAGTGTAGTGGATGCAAGTGTACGTGGGTGTAAGTAAGGGGGAGAAGACAAGGAAGAGGAAGTAAAGATCCAGCGCGGTCCCTGACCCGTTTGTTAGGGTACTGCTCCGACATTCGCCTGGCGTTGATCGGAGAAACAACGGAAAACTACCGTTCAGAGCAGCCGGTCGATAGAATTCTCCTCCAGACAGCGGCTGGACTCGACTTAGCAAGTATCGAGATCCTGTCGCCATCGGGAGCGAACCCCTAGGACCTCCCGGGCCAGAGGAACTGCATGTAACTCCAATTGACGACCTGCGCCATCTCACCCTACTTCCCCCTTAGGAATCGGTGGGGGGCGGGGTTGTGTCGAGGAATCAAACTAAGGGCGGGGTTACCTCCTTCTCGAGGAAGCCGGCGCGCAGGGCGATCTGGTTCTCCTTGACGCGCCGCGCATCGCGGGACCGCTTGGCCGCCATGTTGTTCTTGCGGCGACGAGCCCAGTATTTCTCGTCCTTCATGCTCTCGGGAACAAACTGCAAAGTCAAAAATGACACGTTACACACTTAAACGTCTGCCCTATCCACAGATTATAAAATATATTGAATTTTACCAGAGTCATAACTAGAAACTCTCTCAACATTATATTCTTTCTAGTATGGTCAATCTTTTTTATTAGTTAAAGTAGATGTATACATGTTAATAAAATGTTGATAATATTATCATTGCTACAACAGTATCCTTTATGCCCTTTGTGACGTAATCGACTTACAACTGCGAGAACAAAAAATTGCCGGCGTCAGTCGAAGTGCTTAACTACGCTCCGTGAAGTCACGAGCGACAGTTAAGCAATTCGAGACACTTCAGTTTCCTGGACGGGTGACCGTCAGGGAACCCCTATTACTAACGATGCCGAGTCCCTACTGACCAAAGGGATAAAAGGCACCGAAATAACTACCCCCCCACACACACACACAACGACAAAAAATACATCCTCCACACACACGTACACAAGCACACGTACTTAACGGATGATTACACCAGTTGTACATAAACTCAATGCCCAAAAATGCCGAAGGGACGTATTGCGAAAAAGACGCAACATATAACGATAATTTGAATAACTACACCGAGGTGACAAAAGTCCTGGGATAGCAATATGCAAATATACAGTCGTGGCAGTAGAATCTGGTACATAAGGTATGAAAGGGCAGTGCACTGCCAGATCTTTTATTTCTACTCAAGTGATTCACGTGAAAAGGTTTCTGACGTGACTATGTCAGCACGATGGGAATTAACTGACGTTGAACGCGGAATGGTAGTTACCGATCGTCCGACATGAATCCCATCGAACATTTATGAGACACACTCGAGAGGCCGGTTCGTGTACTAAATCCTGAACCGCTAATACTTTTACAATTATGGACGACTATAGATACAGCATGGCTGAATATTTCTACAGAGGGATTCCAACGACTTGTTGAGTCCACGCCACTGCACTTGGCAGGGTAAAAGGAGGTCTGACACAATATTAGGAGGCATCCTATGACTTTAGTCACCTCGTGTATATTCCCCACTGAACCCGTGCTCAGATAGTGAAGCTACATCTATCTAGAAGCAAAGCACGAGGTCATCCCAGCATTTGCTCAAAGGATCAGGGAAACGTCGAAAAACCTGACCGAGATGGAAGTCATTGACTCATAAGCATTTCTTCTTACAAGCACATTTAGACTTTTAGTACTATGCAATCAAAAGGAAACTAATACATTACACAATAACAATATAAATATTCTATTAATTTTTGCCTCTGCACTCGGGGACGCCCTGAACTCGGGGCCTTTAGGCACTACTTCAGTGGTGGTTACGGCAATGAATTTCATTAAGTACAGTAATTAAAATTAACTAAGGCTATTTAGTTAATTTTAACGATTTTATAACCACAGCAATTCGAAAGACAGTTCAGAACAGCCTCCTTGAGACGCCCACGAATAATTATTAATTGAACGCGTAATCTTCGCCAACGATAAAAAGGTGAAAGTAAAGGGACCGGATACAAAAATTTCGATTGACGAAATACCCGCAAATATTCGAGTCTGCGAGTGATTAATCGCTTTGAGGATGGCCCTTCCCTAAACTGAGAGTAGTGGCAATGTCTTGGGAGGACTTACAGGAGCACTCACCTGCTTCTTGGATTTCTTGATCATGGGCTGCGGCTTCAGCTCCTCGTCTGAGAAGGCCCGTGTCCGGGGGTCGAAATCGCGACCCGACGACGCCAGCGACAATGCTGTGGACGAGAAAGAGCATTCAGAGACGATCGTAATCGTTATGTATGTATCAAGGGCGATAAAAAGATGGTTTTGCGCCGAGGGCGACTTCCAACACCAAGGTTCTCGGGCCCGATGGGCAAAAACATCAAGTAAAGCCCGTGATACATACCAAACTTCATGGTTTACAAGTTAGTTGCTGAATCAAACGAGAATTTGCTGAAAGAAACGAAAATAATTCAATTGATCTTGAATCAAAAGTGCAAAGCATCGCATTGTATAGCGATGCCAATATGTCGAAAGATACACAAAACAGTGGGTAACCAACTGTCAATAGTGTCTCTGTCAAGACAAATGTACAATTAAGAAAATAATCTGGGACCGAATTAGGGAGTTCAGTAGGTTGGCGTAGATGTGAATTGAGATGGAAAGGTTCGAGTTAAAGGGGTTGTAATAGTGTGGTACGAGCGCTCTCCATACGTAATATAGAGAAAATATTGTAATACCACATTTGAAGTGACTTTATTTTTTAAGGTCTGCCTCTGAGTAACAGATTTTATTCAGGAACAAATCTGTCTTCAATATTCTAGAAAAAAATCGTCTGAATGGTTTAGGCGCAAGAGTGGAAAACAGACGAACGGACTGCCGGAAAATCACCGATTACAGGCATACGATTACATTTTTTTTCTTACGTAGTATACCGAGAGAGTAAAAAGTTATTAAGAAAGAAAAGTTGGTGAATGGATGAAAGAAACGCTATTACACATGCTACGTAATGAAAATTCTGGTGATGTATTGAAAATACTTCAAACATTTGTTAAGATTCCCCAGTATTCTCATAAAGTAAAAGTTTGCTCTTATTTTGTATTTTTAGTCATCTTAGGCTTGTACATAACTTCGGAAGTACTTTATGTTACCTCACCCGAGAAATCCTCGTAAATGGGCTTCGTATCAGTGAATGAAAAACACCTTGGGTCCTCAAACGAATGTTTTGTGAAAATTGTTCATGAAGTGGGGGGACGCTCAAGCACATAAGGTGGGTTAATTTTCGATAAAATGGGATGAGAATAAATGTACTAGATATGTAGATTTGTGGGAGGGTGGTTCTGAAAACGATAACTGCGAGGCAGCAAAAGTGGCTGTGGTGTTTATGGAAACTGCTTAAAATCACGATCGGAAAATTCCAGCTGGTTATAGTTTAATTAAATCCCTATCAAATGAAATTTGTTCCGGCATTATTTAAGAAAATTTAAAGACACTGGAATAAAAAATTGGGAGTTGTTTGTGGTAGAGATAGATTGAGGATGGAACAGTTGTGTGTAAAATTTAATGAACAGAGAGTACAATGATGGCTTCTTCCCCCCTACAACTGAATGAAATGTACGAGGGATATCTGACAAGGCTCACATGATGAAATTTTCCGTAATCCAATCGATGAAAAGGGAATCCTTTTAAATTATACTGACACAGGGAACTGATTATTTCGTGTTTCCCAGCGCGTCAACTCCTTTGCTCATAAGACCCGTAAGTGTAGTGTATATTTTATTACGGGGGATGGTGCTGGATAGTGAGATCTGCAACGACCTTCACGACGGCTAGCGGAGTTTTCCCGAAATCCATCATCGGGCACCTCCCCAGCAAACTCTAAGCTCCCGACCGGTCTCCGGACATGTGTGGTAGTGTAGTAGATGTGAGGAGGGGGTGAGGGTAGACAAGGAAGGAGAAGGAAAGATCGCGCGTGGCCCGATTGATAAGGTACTGTTCCGGCATTCGCGTGGTGTTGATAGGAGAAACCACAGAAAAGTACCGATGAGAGCGGCGGGGCGCTAGAGTTCTCCCCCTGACAGCGGCCGCATTCGACCTCGCCGGGGAGGAGCCCTAGGGCCTCGCTGCGAGCGGTCGCGCATGCGCATCGCCGGGCGGCGCTGGGGGGCACTCACTGGACTCGGCGGGCGAGGGCGGGTTGAGGGCGTCGCCGGGCGACAGCGGCTCCGAGGGCGACGGCGAGCGCTCGCGCTTCGCCACCAGCTCCAGCACGGAGGCCGCGGCGGCGGCGGCGGCGACGGCGGCGGCGTCGGGCGCGGCGGCGGGCGCCGGCGCGGGCGCGGGCGGTGGCGCGGGCGTCAGCGCCCCGAGGCGCGCCACCTGCGCACGCACGCACGCACACGTCACGCCCTCGCTCCTCACACACAACACTTGCTACTTCCAATGAGAGGCAACCGCTCACTAGCGAACCTACAGACGCGACCTGGGAAATCGGCGACTAAGTCAAATTTCAATGCATATACAAGATCCTTCGAAACACTCAGCGAAACGTAATCGCAAAAGTTAACTAAAAATCTTTCAAACTTACACACTTCGTACTTGATATCACGATGGTTATGACAGGTTGGGCCACTAGGGTCGCTAGCTTCAAGTGTCTCTCGTTATATTGGCGAGCGTCATGTGTTGTCTCTATAGTATTTGCTTACACTACAGCAACTGGAACGACACTGGCCGTTCGCCCACTGTGATTCGGAGAATCAGGAAGTGAACGACAGCATGGCGGTGGTGTTATAGAAATGGAAATATACAAATAACAAGGCTTTTGATTTTCGGTAGAACCGTGCTGCGAAAAGTTGTGAAAGCTGTACATTTACTGTATCTCAAGAAATGATTTTTTTAGGACGTTCTACAGGACGTTCAAGAAGGCGAGATGCAATTTTCGCGAAAGCGTCCAATTTAGAACGCATGTTCGCGCTAGAATTTGATATCCGAAACAATTCTGCGATTTGCAGCTACTTGTCTCTAAAGAAAAAAAGAGCCACGTTGAAAGCAATTTTCAAAACTTGAACAAAAGGAATCAACACATATACACATTTTATTAATATAGTAACTTATGAACTTACATGCTTTGAAAATTTTGTGTTTGGTATAATGTATATAATTTTAATGGCAATAATTTAAAATAATGTATGTCCAATATTATAACAAAACTCTTATAAAAATTAAATTTTATGAGAGAAAATTGAATCACATTAAAAATATTAGAAACATGTAATAAATTATTCATATCTTCAAATATTACTTTCCTTAACGTAACAAATGAAATGAAATCCAACGTACCAAAAGATATTTTACGAGTTACTATGTAGGAGAACTGGCAGATTCTGCCCAATTAATGGGTGAGTGAATTTTTGGCGCCTTCTCAGGCGTATAGGGCAGTACTTTCAAATCAGAGGTTGGTAAGACCAGGAAATATTCGGGTTGCCAGAAATTCAACAGATCGCAATCAGTCGCACTTAAACTGTCACAGGTTCTCTTTTGGCCCAGAATGTTGACCTTCCTGAACATACGTTTTCTTTGTGTAAAACTACAGAGCCATTTTGTTGTATTTACTGCACAATTTACCAACCTAATTGACCAGCATTGCTCAGAGCTACAGCAGTAGTGGGTTTGAATCCTTCGTACCTCATGTGTCTGTGGCACGAAAGGTAAAAGCAAAACATATTTTCTTCATAATATTATTAAATAATAATAAGGAACGGATTTTGATAAACTAAACATTGCCAAAAATGATCAATAAAATTCCCATTTAAAAAAATGCTCTGAAAGCACAGAAAATTGTCGCAAAAACTTGATCAAACCCAATTCGGAAGAACAACTCAATCTGTTGGATGCATTACTAATGTAATCAAGGCTTCTTTCTTTCGTTCAAGTGAACCCAGCTTGCAGCTTGCCTACTTTTGATTTGGATTGTTTTTTACCAGGAAATATCGAGTTATCCCGAAATCGGGGAAACTGGCAATGGCTATGAAATGCGTCGTAGGAACCTTCGATTACAAATTCACAACGGCTGACATGACAATTTCTGAGCAAAGAAATCGAATAGGCTACTAAGGAATTCTGTGGAATACATTTGATGCATCTCGTAAATATTATTTGAAGCAAGAACCATTAAACTTGATGAAATATACGAAAAATGCTTTAAAAATTAAAAGAAAAGTTTAAAAAATGACTTTAGTGAAAATCGACGAAAAATACAAAAAAGATATAAAAATGAGTCATTTCCTTTTGTCATAACATAAATGCAGTATTCAAGTTTGTAGGTTCAAACCCGATCGAAGCCGTGGATATTTAAGGGGAAAAAGCTTTTGTACGGCTTCCTTCAAAGGGGAAGTAAAGACGGCTGACTCATGTAGATTTACTGCGTGTAAAAGACTCTCAAGACTGAAATAAGCCTCTGAGGTGAATTCAAAATCTCCTGGTTTGTCTCCCGAAAAATTCCTTCTTTGTCTTCTAGTTGGTGAAAGGAGCGTAGCGAAATTCGCGTGGTCAGACGGAAGAGCGGACCTGATGGCCCCAGTCTCGCCACGAAACATACGGCATTAACGAACTAAAATTAATGTCTATACTAAAAGGCCTCGTACTAGAGCTAAAAGAAAAAGAAGAAAAAAAAGACATTTCGTGAACACGACGACGCGTGAGTAGCAAAGCTAGTCGCAGGGCTCACCTTGACGTGTCCGTTGAGGGAGGGGGCGCCGGGCTG